TATGTAAATTTATTAAACATCATTTAAACATTGAGGTTATGTAAAAACTTTTCCTCCAAAAGGTCTTTTTCAGCTTTTAAAATCTTCTTCGTGCTTGTCTAGTAGCAAAATTATTAATAACATGATTATAATTTAGTTTTGTTGTAATGTCGTTTTCAATATTTAGGATTGCCAACGCATTTAATCTTTCCTCTTTTATATTTGATCTTAGGTATGATTTTACTCTTTTTAAAGCTGAAAAAGACCGTTCAGTGGAACAGTTACTACATGGTGTACATAATAACATTCTTAACGCAATAACAATGTAAGGATACATTTCAGAAAAATCATTATTTTTGATAAATATAAGCATTTGCTGAATATTTTTAGGTCTTTCATCAACTTTGAGGTTCTTTATATGTGACTTAAAGTGAACACATTCATTGGGAAAAGAACTTCCTAAATCATCTGCATATATATCTTGAAGACATTTTGCCTGTTCTCTGATTTCTACGCTGTTCAATTTTTCCAATTGAAAGAAAAACGAGTATTTTTCAAATAACTGATCATAGCCCATAGGCTATTTTTCTTTTTTCTAGCTCATTTTTGATTCTATCTAAGATAACAAAATATGTACTTATCTTATAATTTATGTCACTGTTGCCAACGTAATAAATAATAATAATAGATTTATGTTTTCATAGCCCATAGGCAGTCTGAATTTATAACATAACAATTAACAAACCTGAAATTGTTTAGCGATCAATTTCGTATGTGTAAATGATTTATGTAAATTACATATTATTTTCAAATTGCTTCATATTTTGTTAGGTACCTAGCGGCTAACATTACTTTAGAACAAATTACAAAATTATATATTTTATATTATTATAATTTTTAATAAATATATAGGTACAAAAACTGCCCCCCCCCCTAAATGCGCCACTGCTGTCCATACTCAATAATCGAAATTACAGGCCTGTGATAACTGAAATATGATACGTATGTTTGTGATTTAATTTTTCCAAAAACCTAAAGATATTGCATCGATAGTGATGTCATCTCTCATCGTTGTAGATTCTGCTGGATTGTTTATCGTATTATGTAAATTGAATGTGTCCGTAAAGAAAGTTTTAAAAGTTTCCGATTTCTTATCATTGAAATTGATGTTAAAGTCATCAAATTGTTTTAATTCATTTAAAACTATTTAAATATACTATATGTAATGTTTTGTATATTGTAGTACCTATTCGTTATACTTCAATCATTTTTAAAAATTATTTGTATTGATAGATCATAAGTTATTAGTTATTACTAACATTTTTAGTTTATCCAAGACCCCAAATCTACTTAACCTATTGGATATTGCCATATGGATAGGGCATAGACATATTAGTAGGTACTCATTGACTATCATAGCTATTTTCAATATTGTTTCTGCTTGAGTTTCAGTTGGAATTTTAATAACAATAATTAACATAATATATTGCTAATTAAATATCAACAAATATTATCGTGCTCAAATTATTATCGTTTGATTAAACGTTGGAAAAAAAAAAATATCGAGCGTTCTCCAATCGTGTTACCAAAAATGCCGCTCAATCGTATTCTACCGGATTTTAATAGTTACTATCGCGGACCGCGGTTACTAGTTACTACTTACTGGTTACGAATTCCCCCCCCCCAAAATTATGTCGATGATCGTATGTGTGTGGAAACTTGAACACACAACGTAGGTAAATGTTTACGTCATAATATTATACTATTCCTGGTAGAGGTTATACATATTACAGGACTGTAGAGAGCGCCACCATAAGAAGGTACCGGCTGGACGGCGGCACATCCACGGCCCGGCCCATGCCGAAGCCCGAAAGTCGTCGAAACACGATACAGAGCCGGTGGCCCCATAGATAATGCAAGAATTCTTATATTATCTATGGGTGGCCCCCGTAGCCCCGTCCAAGGTTTTTATCTATTATCTATAAACCTTGGCCCTCGTCCACGTAATAATATTATTTTATCGTTTTCGGAGCACACCGCCCCCACCGCGAACGCCGATCGTACGAACGCGTTCTATCACGACCGGTCGCCGCTTCGTTCGTATTCTGCGGCGCCGGCCAACGATTGCACGCGTTATCTCGCCGCCGCCGCCGCCGCCGCCGCCGCCGAGTGTTGTATAGCAACAACAACAACAACAACAACAACAACAACAACAACAATACCAATAATAATAATGTGGTGAGCCATCCTCTCTCTCTCTACGGTCTCTCTGCTGCGGTTGGCGACACCGACCCGCGTCCGTCTAGTCGCGGCGTCACCCACCACGGACGACGGGTAGTAATAGTGTTTTAAAATTCTAGATAAAATATATTAGTAAACCTTTATGTTTGCAGAGATGAGATGTTTTGTGATTTTAAACTAGAAACCGATGATGGTAAAATTATATGTGGTCATAGAGTGATTTTAGCATCAGCTAGTCCATATTTCCATGCAATGTTTAAAAAATGTGAAGAAAAAAAAATCAATGTCTTGTTATTATGAAACAGTTAGATTCAACCGCCTTACAGCTGCTGCTGGTAAACTTTATTTATTCCGGGGAAATCACTGTCACTGAAAATAATTTATAGGTAATAACTAGTAATATATGAAGTTTGATTTTATTATGGATAAAAAATAATTTAAATTGGGTACCTTATGTTTATTTCTAAAGGTTTTGCTACAAACTTCAAATATCTTGCAGTTACAGGAAGTAAAAGAGGCATGTAGTGATTTCTAACTGGCAAAAATGTGTCCTAAAAACTGTATCGCTATAAATGTGTTAGCTGATTTACACAGCTGTACAAAATTGTTATCAAGTTCAGAATTATATATTCATCAACACTTTTCGTACCTATGAAATATTATTTATTATTATGATTCTAAAAGTCAATTTGATTTATTATTGTTATATGTTGATACTTAGAGACGTGGTAGAAGGAGCCGAATTCCTATCCTTATCATACGAACAAATGGTTAAGTTGATCTAATGCGATGAGTTGAAAGTTCCATCTGAAGAAAAAGTAGGTAATTTTAGAATAATGGAATAATGGAAGGAAAAATGATTTAACATACTTTCAAATATATAATATAATTAATTTATAATAGTTCTTGAGTTGTATAATTTTGTGTATTAAGGATAATATGTGTATGGTAATGGGTTAAGTAAATTTGAAAATGTTTGTAATTACTATTGATCTATCAATATAAATCATTTTTAAAAATGATCCAAGTATAATGAATACTACATTTAATATTACATATAGTTTATAGTTTTGTAAAACCATATTTAAGAGGACACTACACCCGTATCCGTATTACAAAAGTGTAACATACCAAATTTACACTAAAAAGTTCAAGTTGTATGCCATCAGCTTAAAAATTAGAGTGAATCAACCTATTATGAAACTTGAGTGTAAGAACATTATCTGTGTTTTGTTGGAAGTTTTTTTACGATAATTTAATTTTTAAGTGAATAATAAATGTAAATTAAAAATGCTCATAACTCACTTAAGAGGCTGTCAGAGCACTACTCATTTTCTCTCACTGGCTCACACGTAACATAGACAAAACGCATTTACGCAAAATCAGTTTTTTTTTCAATTCTTTTTTGTAATAGGTGACTTTAAGATTACTTAAACGCATAGAAAAATGATTTTGTGTAAATGCGTTTTGTCTATGTTGCGCTTGGGCCAGAGAGAGAAAACTAATAGTGCGCTGACATCCTCTTAAAAACTGAATTATCGTAAAAAAACTTCCAACAAAACACAGATAATGTTCTTACTATCAAGTTTCATAATAGGTCGATTCACTCAAATTGTTAAGCTAACGGCATAACATTTGAATTTCTGAGCGTAAATTTGGTATTTTACACGTTTGTATGACGGAGAAAACATATGCGGGTGTTGCGTCCTCTTAAGCATTATTATCCTTAGTACAAACATTTTACTAACTCAGAAACTACTTATTAGAATTTAGATCCATCAACGTTTTCAAGAAAATTACCTGCTAAATAATTTGTAGTAAAGGGGGGGGGGGTGTTTTTATTTGAAAAATAGATGTTTGTATGGCCACTGGAGATTTCTTAAGTAGTACAAAAAATATCAGGAATTGGAAAATATGGTATTCAGGTATACTTAAAATTCTAAAATTTGAATTTGAATAAAAGGAATATTAAGGATAATAATGGGTGCGTGCATACTTAAAAAATCAACCTGTATATTTCATTCCCACAATGGCATTATTGAAGCAATGTTTTTGCAAAAATTTGGTTCAACTTATAGTCTTGCTTAGGTATAGTAAATTGTAATATAAATTCCTTTCATAGCAATAATATCCAATATGACACAAATTTTCATTATTCAAATTAGAATCCTCCTCTTTTATTGAAAATTATTCATTGAATAATTTTTTTTTTAAATTGTTAGGTACTACTTAAACAATTTTAACATTACAAAATACAAATACTATAACATGTCTGATGATTTAATGGTAACATGTTAACGTATTTAAATATTTAATTCACATATTTTTAACCAATATTGAAACAATTAAATGACAAAACAATAAATAAAAAGTGATGATAACTGATAACTATATTAGTATAGGATATTAACTTAATATAAAACTATTTTATACTGTTTTTATAAATTAAATATCATTTACACAATGTTTTTTTTTTAATAATCTTATTATAATATAGTTTCTAGACAGTAAGATAGACATTTATTCATCTTTGATACTCATGATATTAATAAACATGAAATTAGATTTTTGGAGACTGGATTTAATACTTATAAATTAGGCCAATGATGTACATATTAAAATAATAATATCAACACTGTAAACAATGAAAAATACTGTAAACATTATCTATATTATTTATTATTATGATTCTAAAAGTCAATTTGATTTATTATTGTTATATTTTGATACTTAGAGACGTGGTAGAAGGAGCCGAATTCCTATCCTTATCATACGAACAAATGGTTAAGTTGATCTCCTGCGATGAGTTGAAAGTTCCATCCGAAGAAAAAGTAGGTTATTTTAGAATAATGGAATAATGGAAGGAAAAATGATTTAACATTCTTTCAAATATATAATATAATTAATTTATAATAATATTGATTGTTGTAGGTATTTGAATCTGTAATTCGATGGGTTAAATATGATTTACGTTCCAGAAAATGTATCTTGACCCAATTAATGGAACATGTACGCTTACCACTAACATCCAAAGACAACATATTAAAAAAAATAGTTGAGGAACCTCTTATTAATAATTGTCTTAAATGTAAGTTTTTTCTATAAATAAACGGTTTTTTGTGTGTAATTAATTTATATTTTATATATTTATATTTTTTTAAGCTAAAGATTACATAATTGAAGCTCAGCATTTTCATTTACTTAAGTCAGATGAGCTTGTCACCATTCCACATCACATCCGGACTAAACCTAGACAACCTGGTGGCTCTCAAAAAGTATGAATCCGTTATAATTTATTTATCTTTCCAAATATATTTAACATTTTAATTACAAATGGGAGGTATGAATCTTGGATCAGCTCATCAATCTGTTTATCTTCAGAACCACCTTATTGGAAACCATCTGCTGACATGTTAGTTAAACGACGACATTTAGAAGTTGGCGTGATAAATAACCATCTTTATGCCGTAATTTATATTGAAATATTACTCATTCATTTCTTAGTAAATTCTGTTATAAAGTAGATACATAAAATTAATATAATAAATTCAAGGTTGGCGGTTCTGATGGTAATAGTAAAATAAGCTAATATTTTCTTTTATGATTTAAAATTTGTAATACCTACTATTTGTCATAAATGAAATCTGAATAAATAAATTCATCCAAATAAAACCATGGAATATATACCCAAAATTCAAAATAAAATATTTCAGTAAATTCAATTTTTAAATTAACATAAAAATGATGTTCTTACTCAAATATTTGTTTAAATAAATATGTATCATGTATCAATGAAAATCATAACGAGAAACTTATTTTTATGATTGGCCGACTAATTAAAAGTATTAAAAGTCTATTATATTTTTTATACAGGTTATACATAATAACAAATTATCTTATGAATCTTATTACTAATTAATATTATTAATTTAAGAATTATTTGAAAATGATAATACAAAATTTATGAAAGTAAATTGAATTTTATTCAGTGTCAAGTTATATTCAACATATTTTTATCTTAATTTTTTAATTTTCATTAAATATTATTTATTCATACTTGATGAAGTATGATTTTTAATTTCTAATAATTGTTAAACATTTAAAATTTAAAATTTGCTAAATAAACTATTAATAAACAATATAGGTATGTTTGTAATTAAAAAACACAATGTATTTATTAAACGTTTCATAAATATGTATGCAATCACTTTCATTGAAAAATCAATTGAAATCGAAGTGACTATTTCTGCAAGTTGTATTAATTCGGTACACTATCGTGTAGGTAGAAGGTGTTGATGGTTTATCAAAGCGGAGATTAAACTCTGTTGAATGTTATCATCCCAGTCTTGATAAATGGACGCCAGTCACAAAAATGCGTGTACGTCCCAGTGCTCTGGGTATTAGTGTTATTAGTACAGGAATTTGGACTTCTATTCCAGATAGCATTTATGTCGACAATTTCCAAGTAATTACTCTTTAAAGAATTCTAAATGATTTTATGAAATAATTTTTTTTTAAATATATCTACCTATTTAATTAAGATAAATTTTTCAATACCTATAGGAGTTGCTGTATTAGATGGATTATTGTATGTCGTTGGTGGAGATGACGGAACTTCTACTTTGGATTCTGTATAATTTTACAACCCCAAGACTGAAATCTGGACCATGGTCACAACATCTTGGAATGATGCACGAACTGCAGCAGTAATTTTAGCGATTGATAGACCACAACATTTTAGAACTCGTTAGTATTCACGATTTTTTTTTAAGAAAACCCATTTTCTTATATTGTATAATGCTATCTTTATTGTTTTCCTATATATTTTAGTCTAAAATTGTATGGTAATATTTTTATTGTTTTTATATTAACTGTACAGTTTTTAATTGCTTTTTTAAAAAAGTTTTCGTATTATATTCGTCAATATCACAAACATTTGAAAATAACTTTGTTGTTAAATATAACATTTTCGTTTACCTACTTGATATTTTTTACACCACTTAAGGATGATCATGTGATAATACAAACTTCTGTTTTTAAAATAAACCCCCTCTCCCCTTTTTTACTTTTAATTATTCAGCAGATGTTTTTGAGAATTTTGATGTATCTAAGTCAAAGTTTGAACTAGTAGTTCTTGAGTTGTATAATTTTGTGTATTAAGGATAATATGTGTATGGTAATGGGTTAAGTAAATTTGAAAATTTTTGTAATTACTATTGATCTATCAATATAAATCATTTTAAAAATGATCCAAGTATAATGAATACTACATTTAATATTACATATAGTTTATAGTTTTGTAAAACCATATTTAAGAGGACACTACACCCGTATCCGTATTACAAAAGTGTAACATACCAAATTTACACTAAAAAGTTCAAGTTGTATGCCATCAGCTTAAAACTTAGAGTGAATCAACCTATTATGAAACTTGAGTGTAAGAACATTATCTGTGTTTTGTTGGAAGTTTTTTTACGATAATTTAGTTTTTAAGTGAATAATAAATGTAAATTAAAAATGTTCATAACTCACTTAAGAGGCTCTCAGAGCACTACTCATTTTCTCTCTCTGGCTCACACGTAACATAGACAAAACGCATTTACTCAAAATCAGTTTTTCTATGTTTATAAGTAATCTTAGATTAAAGTTACCCATTACAAAAAATATAGAGAATAATATTTTTGAGATAATGACATATCGATTTGTCTAATTATTGTCGCAAAACAATTTAAACATCATTTAAATTTACAAAATTTTTTTGTTTATTTTGAAAGTGATACAAAGTCATATGTCAAAATCGATATGTCATTCCCACAAAAATATTATTCTCATTCTTTTTTGTAATAGGTGACTTTAAGATTACTTAAACGCATAGAAAAATGATTTTGTGTAAATGCGTTTTGTCTATGTTGCGCTTGGGCCAGAGAGAGAAAACTAATAGTGCGCTGACATCCTCTTAAAAACTGAATTATCGTAAAAAAACTTCCAACAAAACACAGATAATGTTCTTACTATCAAGTTTCATAATAGGTCGATTCACTCAAATTGTTAAGCTAACGGCATAACATTTGAATTTCTGAGCGTAAATTTGGTATTTTACACGTTTGTATGACGGAGAAAACATATGCGGGTGTTGCGTCCTCTTAAGCATTATTATCCTTAGTACAAACATTTTACTAACTCAGAAACTACTTATTAGAATTTAGATCCATCAACGTTTTCAAGAAAATTACCTGCTAAATAATTTGTAGTAAAGGGGGGGGGGGGGGTGTTTTTATTTGAAAAATAGATGTTTGTATGGCCACTGGAGATTTCTTAAGTAGTACAAAAAATATCAGGAATTGGAAAATATGGTATTCAGGTATACTTAAAATTCTAAAATTTGAATTTGAATAAAAGGAATATTAAGGATAATAATGGGTGCGTGCATACTTAAAAAATCAACCTGTATATTTCATTCCCACAATGGCATTATTGAAGCAATGTTTTTGCAAAAATTTGGTTCAACTTATAGTCTTGCTTAGGTATAGTAAATTGTAATATAAATTCCTTTCATAGCAATAATATCCAATATGACACAAATTTTCATTATTCAAATTAGAATCCTCCTCTTTTATTGAAAATTATTCATTGAATAATTTTTTTTTTAAATTGTTAGGTACTACTTAAACAATTTTAACATTACAAAATACAAATACTATAACATGTCTGATGATTTAATGGTAACATGTTAACGTATTTAAATATTTAATTCACATATTTTTAACCAATATTGAAACAATTAAATGACAAAACAATAAATAAAAAGTGATGATAACTGATAACTATATTAGTATAGGATATTAACTTAATATAAAACTATTTTATACTGTTTTTATAAATTAAATATCATTTACACAATGTTTTTTTTTTAATAATCCTATTATAATATAGTTCCTAGACAGTAAGATAGACATTTATTCATCTTTGATACTCATGATATTAATAAACATGAAATTAGATTTTTGGAGACTGGATTTAATACTTATAAATTAGGCCAATGATGTACATATTAAAATAATAATATCAACACTGTAAACAATGAAAAATACTGTAAACATTATCTATATTATTTATTATTATGATTCTAAAAGTCAATTTGATTTATTATTGTTATATTTTGATACTTAGAGACGTGGTAGAAGGAGCCGAATTCCTATCCTTATCATACGAACAAATGGTTAAGTTGATCTCCTGCGATGAGTTGAAAGTTCCATCCGAAGAAAAAGTAGGTTATTTTAGAATAATGGAATAATGGAAGGAAAAATGATTTAACATTCTTTCAAATATATAATATAATTAATTTATAATAATATTGATAATAATATCAACACTGTAAACAATGAAAAATACTGTAAACATTATCTAATATTGTATTAGTTATTATTAGTTAATAGTTATACAGAATAATATTAATACTATATTATCTGACTATTAAAAAAAATAAGTAATAACTAAGACTGAGAACTAGAAGTACCTACTTATAAACCTGAAAATATGGATGCAGTTATGCACTAAAAAGACATGAAATATGCACATAAAATGTGCTCTAAAAAAATGTATATGACTTTTGGTACTTAAATTATAAAATTAATATGAAAACAAAAATACAAAAAGATTTATATAATATAAAAAGAAAGAAAGAAGTTTGATTATTTACTTTATAAAAACTTATATTATTTCAATATAATAATATTTATAATATACAATTCAATTTTTATCCTATACTTTTTGTATTTCCACCAATCGATTGAAGAAATAGTGCGACAATTAAAATTTATAGATGTTGGAGCACTGTTTTTGAGTTATTTTTAAATGATGGCAACAATAGGAATTTCTATTGGCCACTAACATTGTTTTAAACATTTTGGATGTTTGAGATATTTCTCTTGAATTAGTATTTTTCTAATAAGTATATTTATAAATACACATATAACATAGGTAGTTTATACATACGTCATACACAAAATATATGTATAAATGTGTTCATGAAATAATAATAACCAACAAATTATTAATTATTAATAATACACGACGTGTTAGTATGTACTCCATGAATAGCATTGAATATTTAAAGAAAGACTATTTATGATTTTAATACTGACAATTGTACAAAGACTATATTATTGTAAACAAATTATTATTTATATTTCTTATTTCCTGTCGAAGACCAGTCGCCGTTTTTGATTCTCTATTTTGTGAAATATGTAATATTCTACTATGAGTTGATCAATGTTTTAATTAATATATCATATAAAATAAAAGTATTGGTTTTAATCATTATTATATAGAAATTAAACCACGGTTATTTAGAACCATCTTTAACCGTCTGCCGCAAGAAAACTTGTAATCATTTTATCAATATTAATTATTATTAAATATGATTTTAAACTTAAACGTAAATCATGACTCATGACTCATCAAACACTATACTAAAGCGGTTAGATTAATGTTTGTGAAAAAATTGAATTTTAAAATGTCATTTATATGCGTATTATACAATAAAATAATATACTTTAAAAGTTTCAAGTACTTGCCCACAAATATCTAATATATATAATATATTAAGAGCCTTCTATTAAATTTCTAAGCTTTTTTAACCAACAAATAAAATTGTTTTGATATTTATATAAAAAAAAATAGAAACTGAAAATGTCCGTAAACAGCTCAAAATAAGTCCATATATTTGGAAAATGATATGGTGTATAGAAAATGCTAATATTAACATTCAATCAAAATCACATGTATCTACGGTAATTTGTTTAAGAGTTACACCAAAAACCAAAATTTTTTGAAAACAGATTTTGTCTAAGAATTCCCGTTTCCTTAATTTTTCTTTTGTTTATCACGGCGCTTTTGAAAACTACTGGGAAATTTTTACTTTTGATCCCCCAAAGTACTAACTAGATTCACTTTCCTATCAGAAAAGATACTGTTGAAGAAAATCTAAGCATTTCTACTGTTCTAAAACTTGATTACAGACAAATATGAAAAAAATTAAATAAAAAAATACACACATCATTGTAAAATCAATACATTCATTGTTTCACTCGGAATCTAAAAATACTTTTTTATACTACAACTTATACGTCATAATAATGTTTAATGATTTTTTGGGTGGATAAATAAAAGTGTACGCAAATTCACAGCATTCTTAATTGTCCAACAATCTATCTAATATTGATGTTAAATTACAGCAGAAACCCATTGGCCATAGTTATTTCATTTAATTGGCGTATAGGTACCGCATATATAGGAATATAACTAAATAGTTATGTAGCGAACAGTGACTATTTCTTAAATAACTAAAACAACCTCGACGCTCTCGAGTCACACATCAAACACTCGTTTCTATTATTTAACTCGTGTTACCCTTCTGACGAGAAGTCGAAGCGTATTTGTCGCAACTGGTCAACCTCCTAGACCACGTCGGGGGCTCGGGGCTTGCACACTTCCCAAAACATTGTGTCGACTATCGTCCCACAATACTGTTATCAAACATTTACTGGTCACCTACTGTCGTTAGTCGTCCGCAGTCT